TTTTTTTGCATTTTGATGTATATTTTTTTCGTAGCGAATGCTTTGATGAAAAAGAATTTTGAAATATGTTTAGAAGAAAATAGAAATTAAAATAGGACTAATAAGGAAACCCAGCAAGATATAAAATGTTTCTCCGATCAATAAGGTATTGTAAGGTGAAAGTAATTTAAAATGTATAAATCTTTTTCTCTGCATTTAAATAAGTACTGGATAAACTCGAAAATAATTACTACTAAATTAAATTAGAAAATGGGCAGAATTCTCAATTTAGAACAGACGCAAATACAGTAATACCTGGAACTGAGTAATAACCTTGCGAGTTGGGGTATAATTTCGCATATAAATACATATAAATTATTTTTATTTAGGACCAGAGACGAAAGAAAATAATAATTTAGAAAAAAAAATGTTTAATAGAATATTAGATAACACAAATACAAAATCGTAAACCGCAGTTATTTTGATGTGGAAGGTTTCATAAAATCTAACAAATTAGTCCACCGGCTCAAATTTTTTTCTTGCTCAAAATTTTCTCGTAGCAATAATATCCCTTGTTTTATCAAAAAATATACTCATCATTATAGTCTATATTTTCTAAAGTTTGTAACTCTTTTTTCAATTAAACTGATACCTTCTCTCAAATTTCCAACAACCGTCATTCGATCTTCTGACTGAACTGAGTCAAAAGATTCAAGTTCTTCTGTGTCTCGCTCTTGCTGATGCATTTCTATGAGCTCATCCATTGTCAGCTCCTGATTGTGGGAATCCAGCAGTTCTTGAACGTCTTCACAATTCACTTCTAAATTTATTCGTTTAGGAAGATCGACAACGTTTTAAGTCACACTACCAATTTTACCATTTCCCCCCCTCTAAAACAGTGCTTCTCAAAATGTGGGGCACACCCTCTAGAGGGGCGTGACAACCCAAGGAGGGAGGTGCGAGCATACTGAAAAGTCGAAAACAAATGATTATTTAAAAAATTATTAATTTACAGATAACAATAAATATTGAAAGCAATAAAAAATCATTTACACTGAGAAAAAACACCTATAAATGTATCAGTACCGCACAATGTATTTTATAATTAATTTAACAATACTAAGTTAGGAACAAGTTTAATAATTACCAGCAAGTTTGTCATATATAAATTTTTTCCAAAAATTACCACTTATCGTGATCATTTCAACGGTTTATAATTAATCCCTTGGATGCCAATTAAAAGTTTCGCTATTCGCATCCCATGCTACTATTTTGCACGTATGTATGCGTATATGGTATTTAGGGGGTGGGGGGAAGAAAGGAAGTAAATAAGGAAATCTTCTGAAGTAAGTAAATCCTTCGCAAACACTGTCGAGGCCATTTTATTTCATTCCAAAACCTTCGGATTAATTTTATGGATAGCAGTGAACAGAAAAGATCGTATTTTTGAAAGACGTATATATATGTCCTGGGCAATTTACGCACTGGCTGAGTGAGACGTTTTTATACGCTGGTCGCACTAAAGAAATTATAGTCATCTTGTAGCTTTAGCGTCAAAGTATGGTATTATTGAATTCAATATATTGTTATTGTATGGAGGGAGACGCGATGAAAATTATGATTGAATATTGGTTGCAAGTATTGAAAGTTTGAGAACTACTGCCCTAAAACAAAACAGAAATCAAAGAGATTTTAAAATCACGTAACTCTGGATTCTAAGGTAGCGTAAGTGGAGGTATTACTGTATATGTAGAATCTGTCTTTATGAATGGTTTGAAGGTTCAAAATTCAATTCTCTAGAAACCTGGCATGGGGTTTCGGACACAATTTTGCAAAATTTATGTACTACTTTTTTTATTTTACATAAAATTAATCATACCATCTATCAGATTTTTTTTTCACTTTTTATTTTGCAATTTTAGGTGAACACTTTTTTTCCCGGAATTGTCTGATCCTGAACAAATGTTAATATTTCCTTTTATAGTCAAAAAAGGAGGGAAGGTAGCAAAATTTTCTAACGTGAAAAAAATAATTTTATTGAATATTTACAAAGCGTAATTTGCCTACATAATGAGCTCAAAATTTTGAGTTTGTACGGGAATAATAAATGATCCTTTATAGGAATAAAAAGTTCTATGATAATGTTTCTAAAATTATGAAAATATAAAATTCTTCTTAAGATAATCACACGACGTATGGTGCAAAATACACTCCACTTTCAACTTGACAGCAAAATTGTTTTCTTCGCATTCATAACTAAATTTAATCTGCAAAAAGAGATTGATGGAACACAAGATGAGTTTTTGAAAATAGAATATGTGATATAATATAAATCATTCAAAAATTTACGTTAACACAAGTGATTCATCTTAAAAGCGAATTTTCCTTTAGTTTCTGCTAAAATTTTGACAGTTTCCGTATTACATAACACGATGTGCATCAAAATAATTATTTATTTACCTGTCCTTAGAAAGACACAATAATGAGTTCCCAAATAGCCTCATAATAACAATGAACAGAATATTTTAAAGAATACAATCCATAGAGAATACTGCTGTAATTTGATGGACCCTATGGTAAAACTTAATATTTTTTAAAAATATATAGTGTAAAGTTTAGAGCAAAGAGAGGTAGTTTTAATTGAAAGAATAATAGTCTAAAAACATTTTTATCCAACCAAAATAAATTACAGTCAATAACAACAGTTATGAAATTAATTAAAATAATTTGAGAAGTAATTAAGATTTTAGGGTTTGAAGCAAAAAAGAAAATTGTTTCGTCTGTTCATTAATATCAGAATGTACATTTAAGCCTTAATTAATTTTTAATACATTTAATTGCCTTCAGCTTTCAAATGATGTTTAATTAAAACATATGAATTAATTAGAAAGAATTTGTCAACATATTAATACCACTAATAAGTAATTATTTCGTCACTTATTTTTCAATTTGATTTTAATTTTATGAAATACGAAATTTGACAACTTTATGAAATTTTCATTTCTTAAGAAAATAAATGTTCGAAGAATTGTTCAATGGACTGAATTAACCAATGTTGTGTTTCTATAAACTAATTTAATATATTTTAATTTATCACAAAAAGCTATGTAGCATGTAAATATATAATATAATAAGAAAGTATACTATTATAGTATATTCTCCATTATCACATATTTCTAACAAACTGTTATGGTCCCCTAATAATGAAAAGGAAATTAGTTATATGACTTTACACATTTGATATTTATTTACAATTAAATTAGTATACATGAGTTAGTAATATAAAAATAGATATTTATATACGTAACCTTTAAAGTAAAACTTGCATGATGCAAAATGAATGCAATATTTCGTCATCCTTTCCCATCCGGACACTGAACCTTCCCTGAAGACTTAATACCTCCTCTAAATAGAGGAACAGAACAAGTAGAATTCGAGAAAACCAAATAAATCATGGCTTTTGGGGAATTCGCCTGTTCGCTATCTCTTCTGAATTTCCCGTCGTCCCCTAAGTTGAGGTTCTTTAGCCTGTTAAAAAGCATTGTAACATGTTGTACCAGTGCTCTACCTGTGAAGGAAACCCCGTACCTTCATAGCAATGGCTCTTAAAATTGAAAACCATAAAAAAGGTTACACGGAAGGAAGAAAATGCTGTGTGACCTCTCTCTCTCTTTCTCTCCTCTCACTCTACAAATGATTATAATTTAAGCTGAATCTAATGGTTTACGAGAGAGAAACGGCATTTCAAACTCCGTATAAATGAAATTTAGGTAGCTAATGAATTTGTAACTCGTAAATCGCATTTTAATATTGATTTTGTCTGAGAATATCCCGTTATGGGCCTCATATAAGACGAAATGACACCATCACATAGTTGGAATGTAATAGTAGCTGAATCATAGCTCTATTTAGAGTGAAGTTTCAAATGATTGATTTTATTTCGTCTAAGACCGCGTCCTGTATATACAGAGTGTTTTTTTTTAATTGACACTAATCAGAGCCACCTGTAGCTCGATCTAATAAAAGAAATGGCATTAAACTTGGTATGTAGAGTAATGATGGCAGGGGATGTATGATTCCGAGGAAAGAAAAAAATTCGCAGATAGGGGGTTTCCTCTAGGAGGCATAGTAACCCTACGTGGGGGGAAGAGCATATAGAAAATTCAAAAATAAAAGATTTTAAACAATTATCAATTTACTTAAAAAGAAGCAATAAATTCTAACATAATAAAAAATAAAATACATATTCACGCTGATATAAGATACTTATAAATGTATCAGTAAGGCCAAAAATATTTCATAATTAATTTATCAATACTAAATTAAGAACAAGTTAAGAAGTTACTAAGGCCTTCCATGGGTTTGTCATATACAAAATATAATACTTACCGTAAAATCTGGCGTATACCACGAACCTATACTTTCAAGCTTCAATTTTAAATATTTAGGCATATTCGCCGTATAACGCACCCTCATTTTTACCAAGAAATCTGAAGTGTTTGTGTGCATTGCTCTTTTGTTTTGAAATCATTTATTCCAGGTATTATCCCAGGTTCTTCAAAAAAATAGTATACTTCTAGAACTATAACACTATACGTATATAAGGAATGTCATTTCTTTTAAGTAAACAGTATTCCGATCAATGTAGAAGTCTTAAATTTTTTCTATGCGCATTCTTTTTTTTCTATGTTTAAAGCTCACTTCTTTTATACCCGTCGTATAACGCGTACCTGTAAATTTTAATTTTATTCAATTCCTACTATTAGTTCACTCTCTCCCGATATATTATATATATATATATATATATCTTTTCCAAATTTCCAATCGCTTATAAAATACTTTCTATTTATCCATTCAAGTTCATATACATTTTTTCATTTTTTTAAACTTATACTGGATGACACTTGATGTTAATACACAATTTTTTTCAAACATTATTTCCTTAACTAAATTAAAAAAGGAATAAATAGCAACAAAATAATAGTCCAACAGCATATGTAGAAAGGAACAACGTTCGTTGTGTCCATGTAGTGCAATGGATAACGCGTTGGACTTCGAATCCAAAGGTTGTGGGTTCGAATTCCACCTGGATTGGTCTAGGAATAGGTGTAAATAAAACCCTAAATTTGAATAGGGTTCTGTTTTTCTAGTACGTTGAAAATTTTTGCTGATAAGAAAGGTTGGATCCATAAGGCAATACTTAACCCTAATTCACTTTCCTAAATCAGTGACAGCATTAAAAATCATAATAATTATCCATGTTAGTCTAATGACTCTTTCGGTCTAATAATTTCAATTGCTCAGTATATCTGATACTTGGAATTTCCGCTATTCTGCAATCTTATCAGGATATTCTTTTGTATTACACCTATTTTATTCGTATATTATTTATATTTGTATATATAGCAGCATCCACATATTTTTGAATTCCAACATCTGTTAGTCTCATTGATCTTTGGTATTCAAATGTTTTATACCTTTATAGTAGAGAAAGTAAAACTATATATAAAAAAGCAAACCCTTCTCTACAAAAGTTAAGACACAAGAAAAAATTTTCAAGGTCGTAATTGTGCGGAATTGTGTAGCAGTAAAAAGTCTTGCCAAATGCATTTAATTCAGAGACTTTGCTTCAGAAATTTTAAACAGGAATTCTACACGCTGATGACCTAGGTATTATGAAAAGGTGTCCAAAGTATTAAAAGAAAACACAAAATATTTTATTTCAATGAAAGTAATAGAGTGACATTTTTCTCGAAAATTTCACAGAATTTTCAAATACCCTTACACAAAGCATCGATTCAATGCTTTTTTTTTCATTTTATGTATTTCTTTTACTTAAACAATAAAACATATATTTACATAACTATATGTTTCATAAAATAAACATTTATTTTAGGCTAAATTATGGCGCTGAATTCAAAAGATATCTCTGTTTGCGCCTGGTGTGTGGAAGAAAACACTAAAAAAGCACTTTCTTAGGGAATAATCTTGCAACAAAAACTGACCAAACTATTGTTACAAGAGAAATATAATATCTACTTAAATTATTTACAGCAAAAACACATGCGATGAAAGTAATTTCTTTTATTAAATTTTATTGGTTTACGATAAGTCTATGGAAGAATCCTTTATATTCCATTGATAGCTTCCCCATATTGATTGTATTTTGTATATTTTCAAAAATATATCTCTATACAATATTCAGCATGCCCTAACAATTCCAGAATACCTTATATTGTATCGCTTTAAGCAATAGCAGCATGTACATCTCATTTTTCATTGAGAGCACACATTTTCTTGCATCATAAAATTTTCTTTTCTCAATAAAATAATTTTTGAATTTCAGTATCATTGATAGTTGAAGCAGCAAAATTCTTATAGCCTCCAATTTAGGAAGAAAATAGAATTCTTTCAAGAAATATCTTTCCAAAATTTGCAACGTTAAACCCAAGTAGAGATAAAAAAAAAAGGACGCAAAGAAGAATTGTGCAAACTTTTACCTTTTCAATAAAGATTTTAGATTCGTTTTATCTGTCAAAATTTTCCTTCGATTTTAATATAGCTCTTTTTTATAATCAATAAATTCGTTTCTTTGCAAAGGATGTGAAAATCAAAGGGCATTCTTCTCCGTTTGCTGATTCAATTTCTCTAAAAGGGTAATTTCTTTTCTTAATACTTTTTGATTTGACCAGTTTGTAAAGTTATTTCTATTCATGAATTGATTGTTTTTTCCCACTTTGCTTTGAATTTTATGAATTGAGATCCCTTCATTTTTCTCAAGAACAAAATGGCTGATGAATATGATTTTCCGAGTTGTTCTGACCTCAAAATATGAAAAGAATAATTACAACTAAAATGACTTGAAAGGAAAACAATTTACCATTTTATTATAATAATTAACAGTTTTCAATCAATATTCGATTTAAAGATTACTACTGTGCACTTTTGGGATTTGTAAAAAAAAAAAAAAAAAAAAAACAGAAATCTTTTTCGTATACCAAATTCAAATGTTTTATTTAACATTTTATTGTAATTTCTAAATTAAATCTATTAATACTGATAAAAATATATTAATTTAATTAATCTACTTAATTTTTTTCTATGCTACTATGTTTCATATGAATCAAATCACAACTCTTATCCTTAATTACGTCAAATATCGCAAAGTGTTTCATGTTTGGTAATAGGGGAAATATTTTTTAAAATCCAATACAAAAATCTTTAATTGGAATGAAAGATATGAATAAAATCATTTACATCGAAAAAGAAATAAAATGAATAATTTTAATTCTGATTAAAAATAAATTAATATATATTTGTGGCTGGGTGGCGTGGTGGGTTTATCGCTGGCCTTCTGCACCCAGGTTGCGGATTCGACTCCTGCCCAAGTCAGTGAACGTTCATGATGCAGAAAATCGACAGCGGCCATGTCGTATGATTATAAGGCAAATATAGAGACCTAGAGAGTCTGTTTGGCTTGGGTGCTCTTGACAAAATTCAATCCTATTACAGGTTCACTTCGTCAAAGCTCAGGTTCCCTCTCTAGGGAGGAAACTGAGTGTCAAAACCATCTGCGGCGATTGGTATCCACCTATATGGTGCCGTAGTAAAAAGAGGTATCAACTTCTGGGAATGTTCTAGATCTACAATCATAAAACACCAATCCGCAGCCCATTAGGAAAAAATATTAGTATGACTGTGTAATAGCGGTCGATTCCTGCTTACATCTTAACCCCCTTGTCTAGCTGTAAACCCGGCTAGGTGAGTGGGAAAAACTGAATGATCTACATACAGGATTTCAATCTAATTAATTTATTGTTTCCAAATATCAATCAGACACAATAACAATCTAATTAAAGTAGATGATTAAATAGTAGAGCATGGAGGTGAGATTCTATAACTACTGCGGACCCTCAACTGAATCTAAGACAGCTTAAATACGCTCAAATATAAACTACGTCGCACACTAATAAGCTAACTTCTAATTAATCAAGCGCACAATACCTGTACTTTTTATGCATTGGATCCTACACTGGAAACTTGAAGGTGATCTCTATCGGGCTTGATCAATGTCGTTGGATCGACGCTCTGTAATCTTTTTCCTGAACAACTCCAAGACCTCTTACTAATTCCACTCTCTTTCAGTCTTCAACCAACAACTAACTCGCAGACTCTATGTTAACTCCAACGTGCCAACTTAAAGATTCACGAAAACCGAATTTCTATAATGTACTTCATTTACATAATTACGCTTTCTTGGTCGGTGAAGGTTGGTTGAATTGAAATTATTTTCCCCCAGAAGAGTCCACAAGGTGTTAATAAAGTCGCGGATAGAACCGTTACAATTGTTTTCACTATAACGTCAGTATGTGACGATTGCATACAACATACTGTTACGTAGATCGGGGTTCGCGGATTTCATGCAATCAGACTCAAAGAGCAAGACTGTTTTTTAAGAACGCTCGATGATATTTATTGTGAATAAACACTTTGTAAAATGCAGAATTTAGAAGTAAAATTTTCAAAATGAATCCCAGGTCTTCACATCTTTTACAGCACTCAAACACAACTGTCAGTGTCTAAAAATACAATTACGTAATACGTATTCGCAAGCATTCGCTCAAGTATAGCAACCAAAGTGATGCTGAGTGACGTCGTGTCAGCGAGTGTCTGCGATTAATAGACTGCTAGGATCTTTCTTGAAAGACCCGATTTCATCATAAAACGTGTTATTAAAAGTAATTTCCAGAAGCACAGTTTTATGATAGACAAGTCGCCAAATATGATACCAAATTGACTGTATCGTCAATATTTCACCTTTTCGATTGAAACGCCATTATAATTTAAGGGGCAGCGTTGCTTGTAAATATTACAACTTTATCATAAAATATATGTAACAGAAAAGGTAATGTTAATTAATTAAACATTCAGATATAAATTACACTATTTTAAGCATAAATTACACAAAATTCGTAATGATACATTATAAGGGATTGTCCGTGTGATCCCTTAGTGGGAGAGGGTCGGAAGGAAGATTAGTCATAGCCAATACAATTTCTATTTATTAACAATTCTCAATTATGACATAAATTCGACTACTACAACTAAGAAATGCACCAATTACTAAATATGTGAAGCAATCGCGGGGTAGACGAGATATTAGGAGAATTAAACGTAAATGGAATTACTTACGTCGAAGCAATGCGCCTTCTAACTCAATTCGTTCTAATCCAAATTTAACGCTTAACTGACCAAATCGTCAATCTTACTATTAATCAAATACGTACGAAGTTCTCTTGCCTAGCTTCACGCTAATCAATCACTGTTATCCGTTAGTAGTCTAACCTCTATCTTTGTTAACTCGAAACTTCAATCTTTATCAAAAAGTCTTAATTTACATGATCCCATCTTCTTCTTCGGAGGAAGGCTTTCAATAGAATAAATTTTAAGGACCCATTTTTCCCCTATAGGGCCGTTAGTAAGAAGAACACGAATAGACCCGTTACAACATAACTTATTTTCTTAGATATATTTTGCCCAAAATTTAGTTGAACCATTTACGAATTTTTCCAACAGAAGTCTATTGATTAGCTTTCATGCAGAGAAAGACGAAAACACTTATTTTGAAGAAAATAACATTTCCACAAACTCGGGAACTCAAGATTTTTTTATATTGTTTCAATAGATATAAATATTGTGTAACGAGACTGAACGGTATTCACGTTCAGAAAAGTTTTATGCGTTTAATGAGCAGGTTTTCCGTAACAAAGCAAAATTTATTACGTTTTGGGCTCTCCCGCAAATTTCCCTTACTAACTTCAGGATTAACGCTATTGCGTTGTTTGATATGAGAACCACACAATGTGAAGGAGTTTCATGAAAGCAAGTGAACAATGCAATTTCAGTAGAAGTGTAGCGAAGAGAATGATGTCTAACAAAAAAGATTTCTGGGAGAAATTCTAAGTAACGATAGCAGAAAATGTAACTGATAATTCAATCGAAGTTAAAGGGGCCTCACCTGAGGATATTCAGAAAGTGGATACGAATCTAGTCATTAAGAAACTGCTTTCAGGGACGTCTTAAGACATAGGCC